GCCAGCCTGGGCTATATAGTGAGTGTTCAAGGCCAGTCCTGACTATATAGCAAGACCTTGTCTCATAGAGAGAACTTGTCTTCCAGTGTTTCAAAAATAAAACAAGATGAAGAGCTGAAGGAAAGTATGTAGGTTACTACCTGGGTACAATTTGTATATATTTGTGAAGTTTAACAGTATCAAATTGTTCTTGTTCCTTTTAAATCTTTCTTTTTTTTTTTTTTTTTGTACCAGGAATCGAACTTGGGACCTTGCGCTTGTGAGGCAGGCACCTGAACCACTGAGCTAAAGCCTCAGCCCCGGTTTGTGGCTTTTTTGAGACAAGTCTGGCTTTGTAGCCCAGGATAGCCTTGAACTCACTGTGTATCCCAGGCTGGCCTTGAACTTGAGGCAATCCTCCCACCTAAGCCTCTAGAGTGCTGAGATTACAGGCATGTGCCACCACACCCAGCTCAAATCTTTCTTTTTAAAAGTAGGAAACTGTCCCAGTGTGGTGGCACTTGCCTGTAATCCTAGCACTCGGGAGGCTGAGACAGGAAGATCGATGTGAGTTTGAGGCCAGCCTGGCCTACATATCAAGACCCTGTTTTTTTTTTTTTAAAGTATCAAATTATACTTGGTACTTTTTTTTTTTCTCCTTTTGTTGGTACATTTTAGATATACATAATGATAACATTCATCATAGGGAATTTGTATCTGTACATGATACATTTTGCTTCTTTTTTGTTTGTTTGGTTTTTTTTGGTATTGGGGATCGAATTCGGGTCCTTGCACTTGTGAGGCAGGCAGGAGAAGCACTGAGCTAAATCCCCGGCCCTATTTTGCTTTTGCTTCTTTTTTTTCCCATTCTCCTCCCTTTCTTTCAACCCCTGTTCTCTTTCTTATTTACAAAAGCTTTATTTCGGGCTGGGGATTTAGCTCAGTGGTTTCGATGCCTGCTGTGCAAGCACAAGGACCCAAGTTTGATCCCTGGTACCAAAAAAAAAAAGCAAAAAAACCCCAAAAGCTTTATTTCCATTCTTTTTTTTTTTTTGGTACCGGGGAACAAACTTGGGACCTTGCACTTGCGAGGCAGGTGGTAGAACCACTGAGCTAAATCCCTGGCCCATTTTTTTGGCTTTTTGAGGCAGGGTCTCCCATTGTAGTTCTGGTTGGCCCTGAACTCACCATGTGGCCCAGGCTGGCCTCGAACTTGCATCAATACCCCTGCCTCAACCTCCTGAGTGCTGGGACCACAGGTGTGCACCACCAAGCCGGGCTACTATTCTTTTTTTTTCTTGTCCCTTCCTTCCTTTTCCCCTCCTCCCTTCCTTGTTCCCCTTCTCATTTGAACATTTTCTTCCCATTTTCCAATATCTATTATACATTTTGGTCCTAATTTACATCTTTCTTTTTAAAAGTATCAAATTATACTTGGCACTTTTGCCCGCCTCCCCCATTGAATGCCCTAAGTGTGTGCTCTGCCACTGTACTACACCCCTCCTTTTTTATTGTAGCTTTTTTCCTGGAAAATTCAGATCCTCTGTGGACTGCTGTGCAAAGGCACTAGAGAATGCTGCAGCCTTCCTCTCTGGACAAAGGGCCTCCAAGGGTATCTGGGCCTGATAACCTTAAATTGTTCATGGCAAGCTTAATCTACTTCAAGGCATTCTGTGAAAGGTGTGGATTTGGAATTTCAGGCACCATTCCCTGGAGCTGGCAATGTCCATGTACATTACTGTATTTGAGGTGGGTGAAGCCAGAGTGTGGAAACCCTCACACACAGCCAGGAAGGTGCCCTCCCTCAGTAAGTAACCAGTGAGCACGTTTGAAGGATTCGAAACAAGGGTGAATATGGCCCATTCAGCAACCCGAGCCCCTCAGGAGAAGTGGCCACAGCTGTGCTGAACAAAACTGCCCAGATGGAGGACTTTTTATCCTGCTTTACAGCAGAACACAGTATTCTCTTTACCATGGTAATGCATTTTCCTAACAATTGCTGCTTTTTCAAAAATAATACTCTATGCCAGTTACTTAGCATATCAGTGGTCCCACAAGAGGTCTAGAAAGTAGGAGGCAATCACGTCAGTGAGTTTAGGTCAGGTGATGAGGATCTGGGGTTGGCACAGTAGAGTTGGGGATTGGAACTCAGGTTGTCCCTGAGTCCCACCATCAAGACAACCACAGATGCGGCCTATGTGCTTTGATAGAGTGGCAGAGCCATGGTAGGAGAGTCTAAGGGGAAGCCCTCCCTGAGCACATCTGTCCCACCCAGAGACTATCACTTGACCACTCCAGGAAGGGCTTCTTTCCTGTGGAAGAGGGTTGGTTTATATTGTTACTATTTAACTTGTCTTCCAGTGTTTCAAATTGCTGTCAGACTAGCTGGCCTTGGATTGCTCTTTTCCAAAATTAAAATACCTTTGGGCCTGGGATGTAGCTCAGCAGTACAACCCCTGCCTGGCAAGTGTGAGACCCTGAGTTCAATTCCCAGTACCAAAATAAATAAATAAAATACCTTTAAGTCACTTTGATTATGAAAGTGGATTATTGAAAAAATTTTAAAATTAAAACAAAAGAGGGCCGGGGATTTAGCTCAGTGGTTCTGCTGCCTGCCTCGCAAGCGCAAGGACCCGAGTTCGATTCTCGATACCAAAAAAAAAAGAAAGTGGATTATACTTGTTACAAAACCTCTGGAAGATGAGAACCTCCCTGCTCATTTTCTCCCCCAGAATATCCTCACACATTCGTTCAAAGCTGATCAGACCAGTCTTTGAATTATTCCCACTGAGGGTCCTATCGTGTTGCTAAGAGAACTGCGGAGCCCTTCTCAGGCTTTCGAATGAAAATCTAGGCTAATCTTAAATTAAATAATTACTAGAGTTTTCAGCAAACTTTATTGAGTATTGTCTCTGTGGTGAGTGCTGCTGATCCAACATGGGCAGAATTGCCTCTGACATACGGAACTCACTCCTGTGTGAACCAAGAGTGCAGTGCTGATCCTCCATGAAAATACAGACCACCACTGTTAACACTGCTTAAAAACTTTTAAAGAGGCAGTGGTGGTGCACGCCTGTAATCCCAGCACTCAGAAGGCTGAGGCAGGAGGATTGCCACACATTCAAGCCCAGCCCAAACTATGTGGTGAGAATGTTTCAAAAAAAACCCCAAAAAACACTTTAAAAATGTCACACAAATGACACATATATAGTTAGCTGCTCATCAGAAAAGTCATATATTATAAAGTAAGAGCACTTCACAGATGACCCAGACTCAGGCTGACATAGACAAGGCCGGCAGGCCGGGGGATTTAGCTCAGTGGTTTCGCCGCCTGCTGCGCAAGCGCAAGGACCCAAGCTCGATCCCTGTACCAAACAAAAACAAAACAAAACACAAAAGACTAGGCAGGCAGGGTCAGCGTACTCTCTCCGGAAGCCTCCAGTAGCAGCATTGTTTTGTCTCATTTTGATTGCTTAGAGCTCCCTGGGTAATACTTGCAAAATGTTCCATGCATCCAGGGTATGTGCCAGGTCAGTTAGTAAGCAATTCTGCTGCAATAATTGGCTTGTATTCTATGACCCAGCACTACATTTTCAAAATGGTGGGAATTTACAGTGTAAAAGCATTTGCTGTACAGAGAGGAGGAGACTCGAGGGGTGGGGCTAGAATGCAGGTCTCCTCACACCCAGTCCACACTTTTTCCATTACACCCCTGGATTGCATCTTAGGGCACAAGGTGTGTGGTCGTTAATCCTGTATGGACTTCCAAACCAGAGCCTTTACATGCTAAGCAAGCCCTCCACCACTGAGCTTGGCACAGCCTTTGTGTGAGTCTTTCATCCAGGGCTGATTATATCATCTGGACTACGTTAGGCAGCAGACATTCAAGGTTGGATAAGTTGCTCACTGTAGCTGATAAATAGCCTTGTGGCAAGGCCGATGCATAAACTGACACTTTACACCCAGAAAAGGGTCAGAAGCTGAGGAAACTTGGACAGGGGCACCAAATGGAGGAGTGGGGACATGGTAAAGGATTCCTGTCATTGAGAGTGAATAAAGCTCATTTGAAGGAACAATTTGTATTATGGCTTATGGCTTTTATTTTTCCCCCTCATAGCTGGGATGTAAGAATCTGGGCTTCCGTGCTTTGGGGAAGAGATCAAACTAATTGCATTGTCAGTTTGCTGCTGGAGATGGGGTTAGGTTCTGATAGAATCTGGCCTAATCAAACAAAATGCAATTGGTGCTGGTATTTTATGTCAGTTTTTAACTTTTTAGAATTCAGTGGGCCTAGGATGAGGGTAAGTGATCTGATTCAAGCTCTCCTAACGGGAAGGTCATCAGAGGAAAGAGCCACTAGTTTATTGGAGCATGTATGTGGTACCTTTGTGCCAGTCACTGTTGTGGGGAGGCCATTTTTGCCTCAAAGAGACAAGGCATTTGACTTTTGACAAATCTCTTTCTCTCTCTGAGCCTCAGTTCCTCGACCTAGTTAGAGGTGTTCACCCACAGTGAACCTAGACTTCTTTTATTCAAATTCCGTTTTCACTTCTCTGTTAATGTGACCATTTGCAAGTAGTATCCCTGAACCTCAGTTACCTCATCTGCAAAATGGGGATAACAGAACGTGTTTCACTGCGTTGTACTGAGACTGAAATTAGGATAATCCAACTACCCGCACATAGTGCGTTCAACTTAGGGTGGTTGCTACCGGTACTATTGATGTCTGCTGATTCCTAGAGCCAGGCACTAACCTGGGCGGGCGCCAGGTGTTGATCCGGGTGTAGCGCACAGTCACGAGCGGGGCGGGTGGGGTCGGGTTTATAAGCCCGGGGTCGGGAGGGCCTGGTGCGTCTAGGAGTCTACGCCGGCGAGGTCTCCGAGCCTTGGGCTCCGCGCACCGCAGACCACAGTGGCGCAGCCCGAGCGCCCCAGCCTCGGCGCGCGCACCCCGGCCGCAGGGCGCGCTGGGGACCCCGGCCCGGACCTGGGGGCGGAGCCTGCGGCCGCCTGGCCCCGCACCCCGCTCCCCTCGGCGGAGGCCCGGAAGGGGCCACTCGCGCTTCCGTCTCCGCCGGGTCTGCACGGAGGGCGGAGCTGCGGGCCGAGGACGCGACGCGAGCACAGTTCCGGCGAGGAGGCCGCGCCAGTGACAGCGATGGCGGCGGAGTCGGCGCTCCAAGTTGTGGAGAAGCTGCAGGCGCGCCTGGCCGCGAACCCGGACCCCAAGAAGGTGAGCGGCGGCCGCGCGAGGCGGGTGGCCGTTGGGCGCGGAGGGGCCATAACGGCCGCGGGGCGGCGGACGCGGAGCCAGGGCCCCGGCTCGGGCGCTGAGGCCGTAAAGTTCGGCCGGGCCGGCGTCGGGCGGGCGCCCCGCGGCCCCGCGGCCCCGCCAGCTGCTTCCGTCGGCGGCGCCAGCCCGGCCGAGGAGAGGCGCGGGCCCCGCGGGTTGCGGGCGGCCGTGCGGGCCGGGAGGCGTGGGGTCTGGAGCTGCAGGCGGCTTCGTTCTCCCGCTGGACCGCGCCGTGGAGCTCTCACCTTCCTAGCGAATCCCTTTCAGGACGGAGCGCGGTGAACCCCCGTCACGGCTGTGCTCCCGACTTGGGCGCGGTGGGGACAGAAGTTGTGATTAGGGACCCTTCCTACCCCTCCTGCCTTTCCTGCCTTCCATTGAGGGCTCCGGCTTCTCCTTGCTGCAAGTGGTAGGCAACCATTTCCAAATGCACTTATCTCGTCTTTGAGGCTTTTAGGAACTCTTAAATGCCTTTTTCTCCCGTCCCATCTCTCGAGCACCGGCCTTGGTTGTCTCTGGGAGTCTGGTGGGGTGTGAGGACTCTTTTCATTGCAGTACTTGGGTGAGAACCATAAGGGTGTGACGCTCGGTCAGCATCCTGGCCAGGGCGCGCAGTTCCAAAGACGTGAGTTTGAGAGCGGGTTCTGGTGGAAGAGGAAGTTATCGGGCCAGGCGGTGGAGGGAAAGTGGTGAGATTCGGGTTCCGATCCACTTACCAGCTGTGGACATTGTAGAGAGTTCTCTTCTGAGCCCGTCTACTCTTCCACTTCTTGGGACTAAACTAAAAGATGGATGTACCAGCAGGATGTAAGTGCTCAGAAAATGTTAATCATTTTTCCAGAATTTTTCTTGAAAGGCCCCTCTTGCTTTATTTTGTTATCTAGCTTGACACAGGGAGGTTTCTCCATTTCCAAACGTTGCACACAGCCTCTCAGCATCAGACTTCTTTTTAACTCTACTCATTCATACCCAGCTCAAAGATCCACTTCAGAAAGCCATGTTATAAATCTGTGGAGACCGAAGTGCTTCCAATTGTGTTGTTACATCTTCTTTCTTTTGGTTATATTTTCTATGGTCAGGCATATTTACAAGTTTTTCTTCACAATAACTCTTTGTAGACAGCTGATAAATGGTCATTATTTCTGAGTACTAGTCTGTTTTCCTGTACATTGTAAGATTTGTAATTGATTTTTAAAATCTTAAAAGCAGTATTATGGTCTTTATTCCTACCAGATTTTTTAAAATGTTCTATATAGTTATTGTTTCATGAGAATTTAAATTTTTTTGGTTTTTTTGGATTTAAAATTTTAAAATAGCTTTTCTAGTAGTTGCTATGCATGAAATACCAAGTCAGGAAAAGGTTCAAGTAGACTTACTTCAACTATTAGTGACATTTTTGGTACCAGGGATCGAACTCGGGTCCTTGAGCTTGCGAAGCAGGCGGCGAAACCACTGAGCTGAATCTCTGGGCCCATTATTGACTTTTAAAAAGCATTCATGCTTTCTCTTCCCAAGTAGACAATTAACCAAGGGCTGGGGGATGCGGTTTAGTGGCACAGTGCTTGCCTAGCATGCTTGAGACCATAGTCTCCAGCACTGTGAAAAACAGAAAATCACCATGAACTTCTGGCTTTGTGTTGTAAAATGAACATTATGAAGACGAGAAAATTTTGGGAGATCATTTTTTCTAAAGGGCGTAATAGTTGACATTCAGAAATGAGCTAACTGCAGAGGGAAAATTGCAAGCTAGCACACTGGCCGCTTCCCCTCCTCTCAACCTTCTGTTAATCCAACAAGCTCCCACAGGTTGTTCTTGAAATTGCAGGATGATTACAGAGCAGTATTGAATTTGCAACCAAATCTTGTTTTCAAACCATTATTAACCAAAGGGTAATTTCCACACCTGTGTTCATGGAGCTTCTGGTGTTAAGCATTGGTGTTTAAGTGTAACTCTTTTCACTTTAAGTTCATCTGCCTTGGGAGAGAAAGTATGAGGTAGACCAGAGCCACTTGATTTCTGTTCTACCACTGAATTGGAAATGATTTCAGACAGTTACCTGCTCTGTGTTACATTTTGAATGGGGAAACTGCTAAGAACACAGATTGACGGATGGAAAGCTAGGGATCAGCATTGAAAACTTTTTTTTTTTCTTTTTGAGTTGAAGTAGTATGCAGGAGACAACTAGGATTTCTAAACATGTACTTGATATTGCTCAATAGACTTGTTATCAGTTCTAGTACCTAGGTTTGACTTGTTATTCCTTCAGACTTTCTTAGAATTTTCTGAAAATAGTGATGGAGTAAAGTCTTTCTCTTCTGTTAGGCGAAGTCAGTCTGAAAGTCTTGAGGGTTTTAGTTTTTTCTGCTTAAGTCATTCCTACTAACCTGAAGTGAAGTGGAGAGGCAGCATTTACTTTTCCCGTTAGTGCTGGACTTTAAGACAAACACACCCTCCGCTACTTCTGGCCCCATACATCTCTGTTGGCCTTGTAGAGGCCCTGGGACTTTTTGTCCTCTTGGTGACCTTTACCACATGGACTTTAAACTGAGGAGATACTCCTCTGTCTTGTCCCAAGCTGAGAGATAGGTATTTGAGTTGTTTGTTTTCTTTCCCTAAGGATGGTGTTATGTTGGCTGCTACTCAGCTTGCTAGGTGAGTTATGCAACCTCACTGGGGCTCAGTTTTACTATCTGTAAAATGGGGAGAATAATACCACCTCATAGTAAGGATCAAATGAGGTAACACATGGAAGAACTTTGTGTAGTGGCTGACACACAGGATGGTATGTAAATGTTCCCTACCTGTTCCAGGGAATCACATTAGGGGGAAATTGCTTGTTTTATACCTTTTCAGTGATTCTAAATTTTCCTTTAAGAAAGGGAATTGGCATGAATTTTTGTACCCATAGCATGGGTAACAAATACACATAAACTTTTTTTTCTGAGTTGGATGATGGTGGGGTTGGAATTTGAAGTGGAGGATGCTTTTCACTCAACTATGAAGTTTCACCTACCCTGGATATAGCACTTGGCCTCTTGTTCCCAAGCAAGATTATTACCTGTGATCCAGTTGCTCTGGCTGGTGACCATGTTAAGTAATTATAGAAGTAAAATGAGCAGAAACGCATACTTGTTACTCCACTTGTTAGGAATATAGTTTATTAATTATAGGTTATACACAGAGAAATAAATATCTTGTTGTCTAATTAAATGTAAAGATAGCCACAGTTAGGGCCAGGGATTTAGCTCAGTGGTTCCGCTGCCTGCCTCACAAGCTCAAGGTCCTGAGTTCGATCTCCAGTACCAAAAAAAAGATAGCCACAGTTACATTTTTTCAACTACTTGTACATTGTAGCACTCCTTGTATGGTATTTTTATATGCATATAGACATTCCTAGACAAAGGCTTAGCCAATCATGACTTAGGGCAGAGATAGAATAAGTAGGAATTGACTAAGCAATATCAGGTTGAGAATCAAGGGTAGAACATTTAAAGAGCTGTCAACTGGTGGATAAAATGATTAATAATAAGCATGTATTGAGCTTTACAGTGTTGCAGACACTGTGACTACTGGACATAGTTGTCTCAGTGAATCCTCACGGGTTGTGAAGTAGGGACAGGATCCAGTTCCTTGTTTTGCAGATGAAGTGATTCAGGTTCATAGAGGTCACTAACTTGCACAAGATCACCTGGCAAGAAGGTAACAGCCAAACTGAAACCTGTCTCTGACTCTGGAACTCTATTTTAACTCTGCTATACCAATTTTGACCTAGTTTTAGGGACTACAGAAAGGAAATATGGCCAAACCTAGATCTCTTTTCTAATCTGCCCAGGCCTATTATGTTCATCAAGAGCAAAGTTCTAAAAAAAAAAAAAAAAAAGAGCAAAGTTCTGATTATGCCAGCTGACAATTATTCTCAGCTCTGCTCTTCTCTTTTCTTTTCTTTTTGAGATAGGGTCTCACTATGTAGCCCAGGCAAACACAGGAATCCTCCTGCCTCATTCTCCCAAGTTCTGGGATTATAAGTGTGTGCCACAACACTGGCTTCCACTTGTATTTAAAAAGCACTTTGCTAAACACTGTATTCCTTCTGGAAACATGGTACTGTCTCTCAGTACAGGCCTCTTCTTTTACTTTCCTCTGTGTCATGTCTGTGGGTTACTTTCCTAAAGTTAGTAGCCTTTCTCATAAATACTAGGTCAAAACGGGGCTGAACTGGGCTTAACCGAGCATGCTGGTGCACGCCTGTAATCCCAGCACTTGGGAGACTGAGACAGGAGGACTGCTATGAGTTCAAGACCAGCCTGGGCTACATAGCAAGGCCCCGAAAAAACTAAACAAACAACCCAAAAAACAAACCTGGGGCTGATGGTTGCTGATGACTTTTATCAGAATTAGTAGGCTTTGATTTTCTTCTCTGCACCTTACTTCTCTTTGTTATAGAATAGCAGTTGAAAGCATGGAATCTAAATCCAGACTCAAGTGAGTCCTGCCCTGTTTCCATCCCAGGGCAGGTAACATAACTTTTTTGAGCCCATTGTCATACTTGTGAAATAAATAACTGTACTCCTTGCCGTAAAACTTGTAGCACTAAGCATCAGATGTTTCTGTTTGTTCCAGTGAATACGGCTAGACAAATTAATGTTTGTTTTATTCTCTCTGCAGCTATTGAAATATTTGAAGAAACTCTCCACCTTACCTATTACAGTAGACATTCTTGCGGTAAGAATTGTATGATTTTTTTTTTTCTTTTTTGTTTTTGGTACTGGGGATTGAACTCGGGTCCTTGTGCTAGCAATAGCAAGGTAGGTGGTGTAACCACTGAGCTAAATCCCCAGCCCCAGAATTGTATGATTTTTATCCCATCTCTTTCCCACTGGAGAGTATACAGGAAGTGTTAGAAGATGGGCTTTGGAAGTGAAAGAAACCAGATCCAAAGGCTACATTTCGTATGATTCTTTTTACATGAAATCTCCAGAACAAGCAAATCCATCGACAGAAAGTAGATGAATGGTTGCCAGGGGCTGGGGGAATTGAGAGAAACAGGCCTTCTTTTTAGGGTGATGGAAATATTCTTGAATTAGATTAGGGCAATGGTTGTGCAATATTAGGAGTGTTCTGGAAACCACAGAATTGTATACTTTAAATGGTTAACATGACAAATTTAATGTTGTATGATTTTTTTTTTTTTCGTGGTGGCGGGTGGTGCAGTGGAATAAACCCAGGGCATCACACATGCAAGGCAAGTGGTCCACCTCTGAGCTGTACCCTTAAACCTCTTATATGACTTTTATTCAAAATTAAAATGAATGAAAACATTGGCTTTGGGACTTACTAGTCCTGAGTTCAAATCCAAGTTCTATGACTTTAGGCTGTGCCTCTGTGAACTGAGGCTGATTCCTGCCTCAAAGGTAAAGACTGAGTGAGATGCTATATGCAAAGCCTTTAGCTCAGTGCCTAATATCTGCCATAATCACTCTTGTTACTATTGTTAAAGTTCTGAAAGTGTTTCAACAAAATGTTTCTCTGAATTATTCTGCTTTGTTACTATGTGTCATTAGTGATTGGGGAATAGGCAACAAAGTAATTTAGTAATGAAAATTGCAAGGTATGGTGAGCTTTGTTCCTTAATCCTCAATCAATTGCTTTGTTAAATTTATAGGAGACCGGGGTTGGGAAAACAGTAAATAGCTTTCGAAAGCACGAGCAAGTTGGGAGCTTTGCCAGGGACCTCGTGGCCCAGTGGAAGAAGCTGGTGCCTGTGGAACGGTAAGAACATTTCTCAGGTTTGTTGAACTTCATGGGTTTCTTTTCCATCTTCTTATTTAAAATATCTTGTTTTGCATCAATTATAAAAATAATTCATTATCATTATAGAACATGAGAAACTTTAAAAATAGAGAAAATAAAAATTTCTGTCATTTAAGGGTTAGCACTATTAACAATTTGGCATGTTTCTAATCGGTTTTTTGATTTGGTCCTGGTTTTGGAGATGAAACTTAGAGGTCCTCACACATGCTAAGCACATGCTTTATCACTGAGCTACAGGCCCAGCCCTTCACACTTCTTAAAAGGCACTTTTTTAGTCCCCTTTTTATGGAACAAATTAAACATATCCCTGTGTTGAAAAACATCTTTGAACATTTTCATGTTTCATGTCCACAAGATTTGGGGGAGGTACTGGGGAATTAACCCAGGTCCTTCTCACTTTCTTTAACGTTGGTATAGAGTCCTGCTAAGTTGCCCAGGTTATAGTTGAACTTGCTCTCCTTCTGCCTCAGCTTCCCAGAATGCTGAGATTACAGGTGGGTACTGACACACCTGGCTGTTTCCCCAATTCTTTTTTTCTTTTTATTAGTACATGGTTGCAGTATGTAATGATTGCATTCATCATGGGGAGGTGGCACATGGCATTTTCCCAAATTTTTCAGAATATATTTTTAAGGCTTTCCTTTTCTTTTTTTTTTTTTTTTAATTTTCCCAGTTTTTAAACTTAGTTGAATACTTTAAGCATAACCCGCTTACTTTCTTACTGTGCCCTTATTTCTTTTTATTTGTTTGTTTGTTTTGGTACTGGGGATTGAACTCAGGTCCTTGCACTTGCGCAGCAGGCAACAAAACCACTGAGCTAAATCCCCGGCCCATGTGCCCTTATTTCTAACTGCATCTTCACCTTTTTTGTGTGTTCAAGTCCTGTGATTTTGAACAAGGATTATACTGAGATTTATATCTGCTTTTTCAGAAACAATGAGGCTGAGGAACAGGACTTTGAGAGGAACAATTCACGAAAGCGCCCTCGGGAGGCTCTTCAGAGGGAGGAAGAGATGGAAGAGGACTACCAGGAAAACTGGAAAGCTTCTGGCAGCCGATCCTATAGCCCTGAGCACAGACAGAAAAAACACAAAAAGCTCCCAGAGCTTGAAAAATCTCACAAAGTGTCTCACAGTCATGAGAGGAGAGATGAAAGAAAGAGGTGTCTCAGAGTATCACCAGCATACTCTTCAGACCCTGAATCTTCTGACTATGGCCATGTCCAGTCCCCTCTGTCCTCTGGAAGTCCTCATCAGATGTACACAGACCATTACAGGTCCCCAGAGGAGGACCATGAGCCCACTGTTCCACATCAGAAACCTGGAAAAGGTCACAGTAATGCCTTTCAGGACAGACTGGTGGTCAGCCAAGAGCGACACCTGGGTGAACCCCAGGGGAAAGGGATTGTGAACCCAAACAAGGAGCACAAATCTTCCCATAAGGAGAAACGCTCCAGAGAAGCCAAGAGTGATGAGAAGTCCTCTTTGGGCAGAGAAAAACCACACAAGACCCTCTCCAGAGAGGAAAACCGAAGGCCGCCCTCAGGGGACAGCACCAAGGAGAAACTGCCCTCTAGTGCTGTCAAGAAAGAGAAGGAAAGAGAAGGGAGCAGCCTCAAAAAGAAGTGTTTACCCTCTGTGGAGATTGCTTCAGACAACCACCTTAAAAAGTCAAAGCACAAGGACTCCGAGAAAACCAAGTCAGACAAAAGCAAACAAAGTGTACGTGGCTTGGACATAGGAAAAGGGGCGGGAGATCTACCCAAAACAAGAGAAAAGGTTTCTAACAACCTCAAGGCTCAGGAAGGGAAAGTAAAAACTTCTAATTTGGATAGAAAGTCACTGGGCTCGCTCCCTAAAGTACAGGAGGCAGACATGGATGATGAATTTGAGCAGCCCACCATGTCGTTTGAGTCATACCTCAGCTATGACCAGCCCCGCAAGAAAAAGAAGAAGGTTGTGAAAACTTCAACCACAGCAGCTGGGGAAAAAGGATTTAAAAAAAGTGATTCTAAAAGCACTAGTAAAAACTTGGACTCAGTTCAGAAATTGCCCAAGGTGAATGAAAACAAATCTGAGAAGCTACAGCCAACTGGAGCCAATTCAGCCAGGCTGAGAAAGGTAACCCTTTAACCCCTGTTGGCACCTCACTCGGGACCCAGGGTCCTGCAGGGTAGAGTCTGCCTGTCACTCTTCTCAGTGTGTTTGCATAGGGCCTGTTGAATTTCAGTTTGCAGTAAATTTCCTCCTGGCCTGACTAGCTGTTGGGGTCAGTAGAAATTTTCTGAGATATTCCATTGTGCAACTGTATGTATTTGTGGTGGTGCTTTTGTGACTGGCCTCCTCCAGCCTGGCTCTGCCTGTAAAGTGTGCTGTGTGGACACTTAGGAACGGCCTGTAGGAAAGCGCTGTGCTTTCCATCACTGTCTCTCCTTTGCAGGTCCCCACTGAAGCATTGCCAGTGTTGCCAGACCTCCCATTACCCACAATCCAGGCCAATTACCGCCCACTTCCTTCCCTTGAATTCATGTCCTCCTCCCAGCCAAAGCGAAAAGGTAATGTTCTACATCTTTTTTCAAACAGGAAAAAGATTTAGAAAGTCATTCATAATCTGTTAACCATAACACTATTACTGGGTGCAGTTCCTAAGAGCACAGGCTCTGGAGTTCAGTAGCTCAAGTTGAATTCCAACATGGTTTCTACAAGTTCTATGACCTTGGATAATTTTTTCTCTCTCTCTCTTTTTTTTTGGGCTGGGGATTGAACCCAGGGCCTTGTATATGCCAGGCAAGTGCTGTACCATTGAACTACACCCCTAAACCCAACCTTGGGTAGTATCTTAATTTTTTTGGACTTGTTTCATGTTCTGTAAATGGGAGTAATAATGGTATTTGCCTCATAGGGTTGTTAAATAAATTCAAAAGTGATAATGCCAGTAATGCATTTAGCATAGTAAGTGTTCAGTGAATTTTAACTGCTGCTGTTATTATTCTTTTTATTCTGTATTGGGTATGCTGTATGTGATCTTTATCTTTTAAAAAAATATCTAGTGTTTTGTTTCTGAGGCAGGGTCTCACTATTGGTTCAAGGTGGCCTTGAACTCACAGAGATCCTTCTGCCTCAACCTCCTGGATACTGAGATTAGAGGTGTGCACCACCACAAATTGGCAAAAATGTCATTTTGATAGCAGAAGTATAAGAACCCACATAATTGTCCATCAGCAGGGGACTGACAGGTCAATTGTGGTTCATCCAGACAGTGGCCTCTTACACCATTATGAAAAGTATGGGCGTTATTTACACACTGCCATGGCACAGTTTCTAAAATGTGCTGAATGGTCAGACATGGTGGTGCACGTCTGTAATCCCAGCACTCTGGGTGGCTGAGGCAGAAGGATCACAAGTTTGAGCCCAGTGAGACTTTGTCTCAAAATAAAATTAAAAAACAGTGGAGATATAATTCAGTGTAAAGGCCCTGGGTTCAATCTTTAGTATTGACCTCTCCGGCCAAAAAAAGCAAATGAAAAAAATGATGCTTATAGTATGTCACTAACTGGTTGAAAAAGGAATAAGATACACATTTGCTTATTTTGCAGTCCCTGAAAGGAGCCATGAGAAACTGGTGGCATTGTCTGTCTTTGAGAAGGGGAGTGGGGGAGGCTGAGGACAGGGGTGGAAGGAGATTTTTCACTCTGTGGCGTAGGGCCTTTTGTGATATCCTTTTGGGTTTTTCTTGCCCTGTAGCATTCTCTTCGGCCCAGGAAGAAGAAGAAGCTGGATTCACTGGGCGAAGAATGAACTCCAAGATGCAGGTGTACTCTGGTTCCAAGTGTGCCTATCTCCCCAAAATGATGACTTTGCACCAGCAGTGCATCCGTGTACTCAAAAACAACATTGATTGTAAGTCACATTGTCAGGCTGGGACCTTATTACTGCAGGGTTTGGCACTGTTCAGTGCTCTCACCTTGGATTTCTCTGCAGCCATCTTTGAAGTGGGAGGAGTCCCCTATTCCGTTCTTGAACCCGTTTTGGAGAGGTGTACACCTGACCAGCTGTATCGCATAGAGGAATACAATCATGTGAGTGCCCTGTGTAGGTGGGAAGAGGGCAGCTTTCTGGCTTGTGTCTCCAGAAATAGCTTTGTCTTTGTGGACCTGCTGTGGCTGAAGGGCAGACCCATGGTCAGATCACTGTTGTGCACATGTTAGGTCTGCCTCTGCCTCTGGACCTTTAAACAAGCATATTTTTAGCACCTGCTCCTGATATCTTAAGTGGGCCTCTTGGGCTAGAATCAGGGTGGGATTCAACGAAAGTGAAAACACTTCAATACCTCCCTTGAGCTTGTCTAGTTGTGAAGGGAGGATTCTGTCAGCAAAGCACCTGGGACCCAGGGAGAAGTTGTGCTTGGTGTTGACACTGAGGTGTCTGGTGAATATAAAAGCACAGACTGGGCAGGTGTGTTGATTAGTGCCTGTAATCCCAGCACCCTGGGAAGCTGAGGCAGGATGATTTGAGACCACCCTGGTCAATTTAGTGACCCTGTCTCAAAAATTTAAGAAGCTGTATGGGGGGATTCTGGGGGTGTAAGCCTAGTGCAAAGGCCCAGGGTTCAATCCCCAGTATGTGGAGCAGCAGGGAGCACAATGCACAGGTTGACTGTCTCCTAGAGTCATCTGGACCTTCCAGAATCCTCACTGAGATGCAGGTACACTCATCTGGTTGCATTAGCTCTCTCCCTCAGGTTTGGAGGCATTTGTTACATACAATCCTTACGTGGCCCCTTTGCCGTGACTGTTCAGTGTAGTGCCAGGGAAACACTGGATCTGACTTCATCCCAGCTCTACCCTTTGCTGATTTCCTATAGGAAAAGGTTGATTCTAACCTAGTTTTTGTGTTGGCTTCTCTCATAACCACCCAAAAGCTACTAGCAGAGTACCTCACACTTAACATTTTTTTAAATTTAATGATTTGGTGTTTTTCTTAGAACAGTGGTATTTTAATATAATATTACAACATAGACCAAAAAATTAATAATAAACTGATAACTCCTAGGTGGTAAAGAGATGTAAGAGTGCGTATATGTAAATGATGCCCTGGTCCCAATTTCAGGTTTTAATTGAAGAAACAGATCAATTATGGAAAGTTCATTGTCACCGCGACTTTAAGGAAGAAAGACCAGAAGAGTATGAGTCCTGGCGGGAGATGTACCTACGGCTTCAGGATGCCCGAGAGCAGCGGCTACGAGTCCTAACAAAGAATATCCGATCTGCACATGCCAATAAGCCCAAAGGTAAAGGAGAGGGGCACTGGGGATGAGCCAGCAGGTGGATACTGTGGTTGGCAGTAGGGTCTTGGTGAGCCGGGGTGATGTAGGGCCACTGGGCCCCTAAATGTCTCTGTTCTTTGTGGGTGGGCCTTTCTTCTGCCATAGCTGGTGCCGCCCTACAGTGGGATTGTCAGGGTTGATAATCCTCTAGTATGGGGGCTCTTTTTTTTGGTACTGGGGATCGAACTCCGGTCCTTGCACTTGCAAGGCAGGCAGCGGAACCACTGAGCTAAATCCCCGGCCCTCCGAGCCTATAGATTTAAATGACAGCAACATCATTGCTCAAGAAGGCAGATTTTTAAAATTTTAATATTACTTGTTTGTATTACATAATGATTATATTCATCATGGGAAGTTGATACGTGTACATAGCACATCTTAATTCTTTGCATGTCTCATTTCCCCTCCCCCTCCTTTCATCTCTTGGTAAGAAGACGGATATTAATCTTCATATCCGTCCACAGGCAGACAAGCAAAGATGGCCTTTGTCAACTCTGTGGCCAAGCCACCTCGTGATGTCCGGCGGAGGCAGGAGAAGTTTGGAACAGGAGGAGTAGCTATCCATGAGAAAGTCAAGTAAGATGCTGCTCCTCCCTGAACTTTGCCTGCTCAGAGAAGAAAGCTCCAAAAGCTAGGAGGGAGCTGGAGCGGCAGGAAGTGACTATTTTGGAGGGTGAAAGCAGGCAGTGGGGAGGAGCATGGGTTCTGGTGGCCAACCTTGACCAGTGCAAAATGTACTTCCCTGAGCCTCAGCTTGGGACTGCAGTGTGGGCAATGGTCCCTGCCTCTGTGGTTGACATCAAGGTCGATTCAATGGAGAACAGGTCTGGCTTGTCTAAGTGTTCCCTTATGCCTTCCCTTTTCCCATTTAAACAAAAAAATGTATCTCTGGCATGACCAGATTCTTCTAAGCCACCTGTTTTCAGGTTTTTGCTTTTTGTGGTTCAACCCAGGGCCTAGTGCACGCTAGGCCAGCACTGTACCACTGAACCACACCCATAGCCCTACACCTGAATGCTTTCAAAGTGCAGACTGATAGCTGAACAGTAAAGGTGAGCTGAGACCACTGTTCTCTGACAGGGTGACACCGTTGTCTCTGAGCACCACTAGCACACAGTGGACTTAGCACTGTCGAGCCACAGTGAGTCATCCTGCAACAGGCAGCTTTTGGCTGTTGGTGAAGAGGACAGACTCCTCCCACTCATGGCTAACCAGCTTTGCTCTATTGTAGGATTAAGCCAGCCCCGTACACCACAGGAAGCAGCCACACTCCCACCAGTAGCAACAACTTTAACTCTAGCCTGGAGGAGCCAGCCTACGATGGCCCCAGTACCAGCAGTGCCCATTTGGCACCAGTGGTCAGCAGTACTGTTTCCTATGATCCTAGAAAACCGGCTGTGAAGAGTAAGTAACTTGGGTTCCTGCTCAGATATTCAGAACTTGTTTCTGAACCCCTTTGAATGTCATTACCACTGGATTGCATTTTGTGTATTGGATGTATGTAGCCTCTGTAGGATCCCTGGCACCAGCTGCTCTAAAGATCAGCTTCTCAGGCTGGGGATTTAGCTCAGTGGTTTCACCACCTGCTGTCCAAGCACAAGGACCGGAGTTCAATCCCTGGTACTAAAATAAAAGATCACCTTCTCCTCTGCTTTGTTCATGGCACACATGAATATCTTTTTTTTTTGGTACTGGGGATTGAACTCTGGACCTTGCGCTTGCAAGGCAGGTGCGGCACCACTGAGCGAAGTCCCTGGCCATGAATATCTTTTTCTTTTTTTTTTGGTACCAGGGATTGAACTTGGGACCTTCTGCTTGCGAGTCCATGAATATCTTTTAAGAGATGATCATAGTGAACATTTATTTTGGCACTTTGCTTTTTTACCTAAATGTAAAAATGTTTCTCTAGGCAATAGGAGTCTTAATTATTAACAGCTAAATGATAAGTAGTCATCCTCAGACCTTATAGCCTTATAATCCTAGCTTCCAAATAGTTTTGATATCTGTTTGGGTCTGTTTTGTATTTTATTAACTTTATTAGCATAAACTAGCCTCCGAATCCTAAGGGGTGTCTAACTTGAGAAATACATTATTGCATAGCCTCTGTAGGGCCCATGGGGTGGGGGGTCCTAGGTTGTCAGCTGTACTCCAGTGACCCGTCAGGAGGCAGCCTGGCCCTCCTTAGGTGGGGTTTGGTTAGCTCATCGTGGACCTGCTGCTACACTGGGCATTTGGGGGAGAGGGTGCTGTGAACTGGTTTGGCTGTTTGTGAGGCAGAGTTTAATTGTGATGAGATTAGCCTTCAGAGTCAGTCTGCTGTTCACAGCACACCCAGGGGCACACTGGCTAGTCTGCCTGAGCTGTGGTGCAGGTGGCTGGAATTAGGCAGGATGATGGTTGGCGCCTGACAGGGCCTCAGCAAGTGTCCCCTGAGCGCTGTTGCTGATACTGCAGTGTTATGTCCACTGGTCTCATGTGCAGCCAAGAGCGGCAAGGTGTGGCTTGGCTTTGGTTGGAAACCACTGCGGGTGTGTCTGAGCTGCTCCCATATAAAACAACTGCTGCATTTTTCTTCACAGAAATTGCCCCGATGATGGCCAAGACGATTAAAGCCTTCAAGAATAGATTCTCCAGGCGATAAACTGAGGACTTGCCTTGGAGATGGAATTTGGGAGACAGGGACAATGGGGACTGGGGAGTGAGCCTTCCAAAGGAGGCCAGAATCTTTTGCTTTGTGGAACCTTTTAGGCTCTGAGTCCTGCATATCTCCAGGTGTTGGCCCTGTGTGCCACAGCCCCATGCCCTGCCCGGAGCACGCTTCAGAATTCTGAAGACGATGTGAAGCCTCAGTCTCACTGAGGATTTTAAGGTCAATTATACTTTTGTTGCTAATTAGAATCTTTGTAAACCATAAGACATAGTTTTAATTAATAAATATTGCCCCCAGATTGTATTTATATTACCCCCAGAGTTTTTTGGGGGGGTTTTGTTGTTGTTTCGTCCTTTACCACACACTTAGCCTTTTCTTTCCCAGGTCCTTTGTTGAAGCTAGATGAAAGCTATTCCCCATCCCAGGTTAGCTCTCCAGAGTGGACTCTGGTCCACAGGGAGGACTGGGCAGCCCTGCAGCGCGTGCAGTACTTGCTGCACATAGGGGCCAGGAGTGAATGTCAAGCCCATCCTCAGGGGAGCCTAGCGTGGAGACAGCTGTGTTTGGGGGTCCTCACCCTGAGTCCCTCCACAGTGTTGCTCCAGGTTCTATGCAGGTGCCTCTTTCTACCCACTCAGTCGTATTTATTAAGGGAGGCTCTTTGTAAAGTCCAGTCCTTCCACCATCTTTGTAAGTCCCTTTTTTCTTTATTTTAAATGAGGCTCACTAGAGGACACAGAACCTTGAGAGATTAATTTGCACAGAATCAGCAGTTTTATAATTTCCAGTTTCTGATTCAAATTTTAGGTGACCTTCCCCCAACTCCCTACGCCCTAGCACAGAAAAAAAACAGGCATGGCAGGGTTTGTTATAAAGCCTTGAATGTGGCTTTGGAGTTTTAAAAGCCAGCACTTTAATCTTGGTCTCTATGAATTACCACTAGAAGTGAATGGTTTTTAAAGTTGCAGAGCTCTGTTGGAAATTGCTTTTGTTTTTGAAAGGTAAGACTGTGTGACTAGAGGAGCACAACAGTCTGCTGTGTCTGACAGAAACTCTACAGCCCAAGCCCTCTATCCTTAGTGTTTAAGCTGGGACTGGAAGAAGGGGCCACCTGGGGAAGCTGTCTGAGCTGTCATGTCAGTTCAGGGGAACTGCAGGGACATCCATCAAATTGGAGGGGAGGCTCCTGCTTTCTGCTTGATGTGAGAGCAAGATCAGAACTAGGAGGGCAGTGTCCACTCCTTCCTTGCTGTCGAAGAGCACAGAACTAGTAAGAACTGCCTAGTGGTGACCAAGGTGGATATAGATCCTAGGAATTTGGGATGTGGAACCTTAGAAACCTATAGAGCAGTCTTGAGGGTGAAGCCGGCTAGTGTGCTAGACAGCCTGCTTAGCTTGGCCAGCAGTTCCCTCTACAACCTCTCTCAAGGCCTAGAATTTTGGAGCCCACCATTTTCACCATCTTGGAGAGCTCCGCTAGGCTAACCTTGATTCCAGGGCACCGCGGGAAGTCTGTACTCCTCGGTGTGTTGCTGTACAGGGTGCCTGTTGTAGTGGGACACAAGTATTGCTGGGTTTTAATTTGCTATATCTTTGAATTGAGTAAAGCATTCTTTCTCTTGATTTGCTTGTTTCACCCCTACCCCCAGCCCAGTCCCCAGATCTAATATTAGAAAGCCTTGGGCTGGGGATTTAGCTCAGTGGTTCTGCTGCCTGCCTCGCAAGTGCAAGGTCCCGAGTTTGATCCCTGGTACCAAAAAATAAAAATAAAAAAATAATATTAGGAAGCCTTTTACCTGAAACTAAATGAACATTTGGATCACGTGCCAGGCACCTGCTGCCTGGAATAGCTTCTTCTAGGTGTCTATCACCTTGAACTTGTCTCTTAGCTATGTCTCTGATTCTTTGCTATTGAACCAGTTTTTCATATTTCAAGTTCAGTTGTATATGATTTAAATCCCCTTATTAGAAGCCTTTAAGTGGGAAAGGAAGAAAGGACACAAATTTGTCCATCCCATCGTCAGTATCCACTTTTGGCACATAAAGATTCCTGCTGAACCCTGTTGGCGTGGAGCCAGATCTCCCCCCGTACCGCTCTGGGCGTCTGAGTCAAGGATGTGACCTGGGGAGAAGGGTGGGCTAAATACCGAGTTCTAGATGGCGCCTCACCAGCTCGGTGGAATGGCTGCAGAGCGGGTGCAGATGTGGAAACTCTGGTCTCATTTGTGACGCCTCGTGCAGTCTTTTTCTGTGCTACACTACACATGAATCACCAAATTACAGATTAGCCCTTTGTGATCCTTGGTGTGACAGGCAGGTTCTCTGGGGGCTTTTCTTTCTTTCTTGGAGGCAGGAGGGGAAGGAGCAAGGTGTTGTCCTGCTCTTCATTTGTATTTTGGTCCCAAAATGTAAATACAATTTTCTATGTTACTTTTTTGTGGTAACTATCAAGATGAATATTTTAATTAGATAAGTTATACAAAAACAAAAATCCCATGGCTAAATAAAAACAAAAAACTCCACCTATTGTGTCTGTCTTCCTTTCTGTGTTAGGGAACAGAAGTTGGTCACAAGATGCCTGCTTCCTGGCCTGAGGCAGAGACCTTAGTCCTGGGCCAGAGCCTTAAAGGATGTAGGGTTTATGTTGGTAGCATAGGAGGACTTGGGAAGGGGCGTTTCAGGGGTAGAGAACCCCAAAACAAAAGGAGGGGACTCAGATGTAAGAGCACTTGCTGGGGACAGTTACTTGTGATGTTCAGAAGCCTGTGGGTGAGCTACCACCACCACTGGACAGTAAGAACTGCAGCTCAAAGGTGAAATCATAGGGAAGCCACATATCTCCTAAGTGGCCTAGGACTTTGGGGCTTCTGCCGTTCCCATTTCCAGTCTCCCAGGGGTGAAGGTCCCAGGTAGGTCCCTCCATCTTCGCTGTGCCCTAATAAGACTGTAAAGAATGTTTATACAGAAATGTGTCAGCAGCTTCATACACCCTGCTGCAGTGTTGGCCCTGGATGAGCGTCAGGAGTTTCAGCATTTGCCAGCTGAGCCAAGGACTTGGCTTGAACCCCTGCATTACATCGAGTGGGTTGGGCCTTACCTCCAGGTTGCATCTCACAACAGTTATCTCATTGACAATTATCCCTTGCCTCCTAAAGAGAGCATACTTCATATACAGTCTAGACTTGGGGTTACCTTCCCCCACCATACCTTTTTTTTTTTTTTTGGTGGTACTGGCAGTTGACTTCAGAGTCTTCATACTGACCCATGTCCTTCCACAGCCCTTTTTTTTTTTATTTTTTTATTTTTTTTTTAAGACAGACTGACTAAGTTGCCCAGGCTGACCTCAAAATAGGATCCTCCTGTCTCAGTTTCCAGAGCTGCTGGGATTATAGGCATGTTCCACCATGCCTAGCAGTTTTCCTAATTCTTTACTGGATCTAGTTCTCATTTAGAAAAATTGCTACGCAACAAAGTTCATTGTAGAGGGCCGAGGATTTAGCTCAGTGGTTCTGATGCCTGCCTCGAAAGCACAAAGTCCTGAGTTTGATCCCCGGTACAAAAAAAAAAGTTAGTTGTAGAACACAGTATCTGATGGATGATTGTACCTGGGTTTTGTTGGCTTTTTAAAATTTGTTTGGAGATAGGGTCTCACTGTGTAGTTCAGGCTGGTCTTGAACTCACTCTCCTAGGCTAACCTCAAAATCATGGCCATCCTCCTGCCTCAGCCTCCAAGGGCTAGGATTACAGGAGTGTTCCACCATGCTTGGCATTGTACCTGGAGTTTGTAACTCCTTTTTTCCTTATTCATTAATTCAACATTTGCTGAGCCAGAACCTGTATTGGACCCTGAGATAACAGAGAAATCCAATCATGACTGGCAATTATGTCCATGAGGAGTAACTTGCCCTTGCTAGTTATGCACCTACTAGGTACCAGTCAGCACTCTGTCTTGGTTACACTGTCTCAGTTATCACAAAGATCTTGTGAGGTAGGCAGTTATGGCCCCATCGCAAAAGTGAGGAAACTGAAGTAGAGAGAGATGAAGAGATTAAGGTCACATGGTGAGCATGAGTGCTGCGTGTTGCCCTGACTTGAAAGCAATGCTCTCATCACATTTGTGACGAGCACCAGAAAGGACAAGTACCACACAAACTGTTTACAGTGGAAAGGGCAGTAAAGCCAGGCATGGTGGCGCACACCTGTAATCCCAGCACTGGGGAGGCTGAGGCAGGAGGATCACTGTGAGTTTGAGACCACCCTGGGATACATAGTGAGTTCAAGTTCAGCTTGGACTACAGAGCAAGATCCTGTGAGTCATGAGGCAGTAGAGAAGTTCTAGCTTGCCCATTGAGTACCAAATTACGAGTACCAGGATGAAATTTTTGCATCAGAATATTGAGTACCAAATTCACTGAGTTTCAAAGCAGTTGCTACCAAGGTGGGACTGTACCCATTCGGGCTTCAGAAGCAGAGCCAACCTCCAATACAAAGATGCCTTGGCCAAGGCCACAGTCACTGCTAAAAACAATTTCTACTGTCAGCTGAGTGTAACCGACACCTAAGGAATCATGAACCCGACTTTTTACCTCAACAAATTCCCTCATCACAGCGTTGCTCATTGCCTGGAGTCTTCCTGGTTATTTGACTAAATGGAGAAATACGTATTTTGACAGTTTGTTGAAGCCCCTGGATTTTGTGTGTGTGTGTGTGTGTGTGTGTGTGTGTGTGTGTGTGTGTGTTTGTGTGTGTTTGTTATTAGGAGCTGAACCTAGGGCCTCATTCTGGGCTACATCCCCAGTCCACTAGCCCCCCCTTTTGGTACCAGGGATCAAAACTCAGGCCCCTGCACTTGCAAGGCAGGCGGCAGCACCACTGATCTACATCCCCAGCCAACTATCCCCCTTTTTTTGGAGACAGCCTTGCTAAGTTACCCAGGCTGGGCTAGAGCTAGTGATCCTCCTGCCTCAGCCACTGGACTTCTCATTCTGTGGTGCCTACTGCCTCAACCCTCTTCAAAGACTAAGGAAAGTTCCAAGCATAATCGAACCATTATAAGGAATGGTGCCGCATGCCTATAATCCTAGGATTCTGGGAGACTGAGGCAGGAAAACTTCAAATTTGAGCAACTTAGTGATTTAGCGAGAGACCCTGTTTAAAAATTTTTTAAAAAGGGCTAGGATGCACACTGAGACGATACTCTTAAGTGAAATAAATAGGACACACGTGTAAATACCAAATAGTTTCCCTGGTATGGGAAGCTGAAAGTGTAAAAAAGGACTAAAAGGTATAATAGATAATGTGAAATAGGAAGAAAAGGGGCAAAAGGGAAGGAGAAGTGGGAGGGGTAGGGGAAAGGAAAGAAGGGAATGGAATTAATATGAGAAAATGAAAAAA